GACAAACGACAATAATACTCGGCTAGTCCCAACAAATTCTGATATTGATACAATATTTGATCTTTCCAATTTTACCACTGCCTCTACTTTGCTGGGTCTACAGATACTTCATCTCTTGACACAATGTGATCTAAAAATGATATTTGCTCAAGACATAATTCACACTACTGAATTTTGCATACAACTTGGCTTTCTGAAGGATTCTTAATACCACCATTAGATGTTTAACATGTTCCACTGCATCTCTAGAATATATCAGTATGTTGTTTATGAAGACAATCACATAACGGTCTAAAAGGGGTCTGAACACTTGATTCATCATGTTCATGAACACTGTAAGTGCATTCGTTAGTCTAAACGGCATAATAAGAAATTCATAGTGGTCATACCTGGTACGGAATGCCGTCTTTACAATTTCTTTTGCTCTAATCTTCAACTGATGGTATCTGGACCGTAAATCTATTTTTGAGAATACATGCTCTCCCTACAACTGGTCAAATATATCGTCTATCCTCGAGAGGGGATATTTATTCTTTATCGTCACTTGATTCAAATCTCTATAGTCAATACACATTTTTATAGTTCCGTCCTTCTTATTGACAAACAACACCGGAGCCCCCCATGGTGACACACTCGGCTTGATGAATTTGTTGTCTAATAACTCTTATAATTGTTTGCTCAGCTCTAGCAATTCCGATCTCACCATCCGGTATGGGGCCTTAGAAATAGGTTGTATGTCGGGCTGCAACTTTATAGTGAACTCAACCTCTCGGTCTAGTGGTAAGCCCGTAAGGTCGTCTTGAAATACATCTAAAAAATCTCTTACCACCGTTATCTCCTAGAGCGTGAGTCTCCTACTCCCATTCCCTATTAAAGGCACGCGTAAGGTATTAATCCTATACAATTATCAATTCAAGACTATTCGATACAATATCTCGAACCCATTATTATTATTATTATGATTATTATTATTATTATTACTACATAGTAAAAGACTCATTGTGAGGGATCTTAAATACCACTCTTTTACTGAAATAATCTACGTGGATATGATGTGCAACGAGCCAATCCATACCCATTATTATAATGAAATTTTCAATCTATAGTAAAATTAAATTTACTTTTAATTTCCTTCCCGCTATTTCTACCCCACATGACTCAAGCATTCATTGGTACACAACGCGCCACTAGTTGGCGTAGATACTACAAATATACGATTTAAAATGTTGGTTTTACCTTTAACTTAGATGCAAACATGGGTGAAATGAATGAATGCGTGGCTCCAAGGTCAATTAAAACTCTAGTGGAAAAACCTGAAATATAAAATATACCTTGTATTACTTCTGGAGTCACGACCGCCTCTTGAGCAGTCATGGTGAATACATGTCCCTGAACCATCGGTCTACTAGGCTCCCTAGGCAAGGGGCAGTCACATACAAAGTGCTGAATACTACCACATCGGTAATAGCCCAGACTGTCACTCAAGCACGGACAATCTTCATGGTTCTTACTGTATCATGCATAATTTATATTTTTTGAAGGTATCTGATGGCTTGGAGTTAGATCATGTATAGTTCTCTGTCTCTTTTCTGTTTAGCCAGGCGGTGGTGGTCATCTATAACTGAAAAATTCTCTGTTATACTCAGTGTGTTCCCTATGAAGTGTTTCTACCAACTTAAATTTTCTAATACCATTTGATATGTGGGTAATCCAAACACTGCTACCTGGTGATACAGCTCGGGCCTCAACCTTGTCTCAAACCTCTTAACTTTCTTCGATTCATTCATCAGAATTTCGGGAGCAAACTGGCCCAACTTTATATATTTATCTGCATATTTGGCTACTGACAATCTCACTTGTCTAAAGTTCTGTAAATTTAACCTCTTTTCACTGTCTGAGAAAATCTAAAAAATATTCTGCATTGAAGACTTCAAGGAATACCTCCCAAGTGATGGGGGAAATCAAAGTTCCCTTCTTCAAGTTCCACCAACACTCTGCTAGCCCTCCTAACATAAATGTGGCCAGTTGTACCCTCTGTTCAGTTGTTATTACTATTACATCAAATAATTTTTCTATTATTTTTATCCAATCCTCTGCTACCCTACGTTGATTTACCCCCTGTTGTGAAAAGAAGGGTGAGTCTGACGGTAGTCTCTCTCTCATATCATCGTTGCTAATCTCTCAACCACTCTACACAACGGGTTAAAGTCCTCCTGATGGGCCACTAGTGTCCCGCCTGTGTTGCTAATAAAGCCCCATGGGTCTTTGTTGTTGGGAGGGGGGGGGGGGCACT